CTGGCTGACGACGGCTAATAAGCCAGAAATGGCCATTCCAGTCTCCCTTGTCCTTGGCGGGATTAATATCTGCCAACAATTGCTTTTGGAAAGCAAAGCAGCAAAGATGTTTGCACTTCTCACTCGACGCTACTTAGATACTAGTAAAATAAGTACAATGAAGCCTCGGTTAAAGAGTTTACTATCTTCTGGCATCGAGCTCGTCATATGAAACACTCACCCTGCGAAACCTAGAATCAGTTCATAGATTGGTTGCAGGCCACAGAGAACTCAGGCCGCGGGAGCAAGACTCAGCGATAGACGGACACAAACACGCACTAACGGCTCCTTAACTGAGTGGAAGCTCGTCAATCGAAACAAATTTTCTGCTAGTGGCTCGCTCTTCACTTGAAATGCTCGTATATGGGGCTGTTCATTACTCGAGGCTCCACTGTAGAAATAAAGTGGCAAGTGGTAATTACAAAGAGGACGAAATTCCTCTGACACTGGTTTCATCAATCGATCCCAGGCTGGAAGTGATAAGTGGCAACTAACGCTGGCAGACGAGATTTCTAGGCCATAAACTTTTCGTAGTGACGAACTACAATGTCAATAACTGACGCCGTTCAGATTAATACACGGGAAGGTAAGCGAATCCAGTGGCGTTATCAGCGCACTAAACCAGTAACGCTACCATATAGTGCACTCAGATGAGTGTCGAAAGAATTAGCCTTCATGGTCGGTATTGAGCGTGCCCACATATCGAGCCAGGCCGAGGCCGCGAGATCCGAAAATCACGAAAGCAATGTCATAAGGTTTGATGGGCAAAGGAAAGCCCAGACTCAAACAGTCACCAGGACGGCAGCCGCATAAATGCAGTCTGGTTCTGTTTGGATAAGGAAAACGAATAACCAGACATTTATTAGTTCGCCACACCTGGTTGAAGCAAGGCAATCCTGGTAGGCATGTAAAAGGTTCTGGCTGAATGTCTGAGTGTTAAGCGCAGGTGTTCACTAACTACTGCCAGCGGTACTCTTCCAGCGGTTGAGGGACTGTAAATAAAGTGCGTCAACGAAGTTTTCAAGAGAGGAGCGGCCACATAAAGACCTGAAATAACGTCTCGGAGTCATAACGAGGATCAGTGAAGCGTAAATGGGCTACGAGA